CTCCCATGATACAATAAGTTCTAGCTTCACCTTCCTAGCTTCTAAGCTTCATATCACCATATCTGGTTGTTGTCCAGTTAAAATAATCTCAAGAAACACTAATTGTAATGTAAGATCAGTGAGATACTGTCTGTGCTACTTTCTTTCTTCTTCTATCTTCCCTAATTATTCTGTTCCCATTTTTCGATGTTCTTCTATACTACATTTAGAAAACCACGCCTGACTTTTTAACTTAAATCTCTTTCATCCATTTTCACTGCTCCAACAATCTCCTTCATTGCCAGCCTACTTTCTGCATCTGCAACACCTGTGTATACATCCCAATTTCTGCCTGTGTTGAGGTAAGGACAATATTCCCTGATGGCGTTATCCTTTGATTCCTTCAACAACATGAGGCCCAGCATGGCCAGGTGGTTAGAGTGCTCGACTCACAATCTGTAGGTCGCGGGTTCGAATCCCCGTCACACCAAACATGCTCGCCCTTTCAGCCGTGGGGGGCATTATAATGTGACGGTCACTCCCACTATTCGTTGGTAAAAGAGTAGTCCAAAGAGTTGGCGGTGGGTGGTGATGACTAGCTGCCTTCCCTTTAGTCTTACACTGCTAAATTAGGTACGACTAGCGCATATAGACCTCGTGTAGCTTTGCGCGAAATTCAAAACAAACAAATCAACAACATAGAAGACTACTCTTGCCAACTTTGTATTCATCCACTAATAATGGAATTGGAAGTATCAACTTAAAGTACCTGCATAGAACACATGGAGTTGAAGTTCCTAAGTTTCACATTAAACTTTCTTTCCATAGCCTCAACCAGGGAAAGAGGTATATCATAGACCTGCAGAGGCCACAAAACTCTTGGTAGAAGAACAAACTGAAAATATCACATCTTAAATCTGCCAGGTTGATTTTGAACTATTTTCTCTTTAAACTTATCTGTGGAGGATACAAAGTACCACTTACCCAAACTCTTAAAAGGTTTTTTAGACATTGTTGGAATCCTTTCACCATCAATGAACAAATTACATGTAGTGACTTTGCTTTTCCTAATGGCCAAGCTTCTACTTTTCTTAGGCTTAAATTCCATGCAACACCAGCTCATCAAGTTTGGCAACACTACACCAACCTCTGTCGTACATGGAGATGTGATATCATTCATAAATGCCCTCAGTGATTATAGTTCTTGATTTACCACATTTGGTGTGCGAGAAATATATTGGTCTGCATCCACAATTTCTAGAAGTTTACTAGGTACCCAAAAGGTTCCAAAGTCAACTCAGTTATTCTATGGGGTACTGACCAATAAGCATTCATTATATCTAACCACAACACATTTAACTCTCACTTCCTTGTTTTATCATGTTGAATTTCTACCCAAATCATACTGATATGCTCAAGACACCCTGGAGCGCATGGATGTATTTATATACCCATTTTTAAACAGGAATTTAGTCAACCTTGTACACTGGAACAAATCTTACCCTCTACATTCAACAGTGAAAACCGTCAGAACTGTCCCAGATTTTTCTTCTTTTGTAATATATACTCCATTAGCTATACACCACCTATCAGGTACACAGTCCTTCTTCCATGCCAGCCCCCCCCCCCCCCCAGTGCCACAGCGGTATGTCTACGGAGTTACAACGCTAGAATACGAGCACAGATAGTCCATTGTGTAACTTTGTGCTTAATTGCAAACAAACAAACCTTCTTCCATATCTTATCAAGCATCTTTGCCAAGATTGCTAGGATGTGTAGGCACTTCTTGTAAATCTTATAGCTAGTTGCTTTAACTTCTGAGGCACTTTCCATTTTGATCTTTCTCGCAACCTATTTAACCTAATCAATACTGATGTTACCCATACTGAACACATATCCTGACCTGGCTGGTTGCCTTAATCCTAACATGTACTTAAGATCAACAGCCCAGTACTAACTGCTATTTTTACTCCCTATGATGTTTTCATAATTTCTCTTTAAAAACTTGTCACCTATTCGCCTGCTTACAGCATGGCTGTATTTCTCTTTTTTCTACCATGAACTTATCCCTGTGAATGGCATAAAGAACTTTAGGGAAAGGTTTCACCTTTTTCTGGATTGAACCTCACATTCTTGGCCCTTGAATGTCAATAGCATACTTATCAAAATCGTCTCTTTCCTTTTACTCACACATCTTAGGCCACATTTTGTTATCCCTATTTCCCTTCTGATGCTCATCAGGTATATTAGTATTCACATTCTTACGCGTTTTTGGCTTTACCCTCTTTTAACTTAGTAATGCTACATGTACATACGATTTGCTTCCTTATCCCATTTCAACTTATTGATACGTATTTGTTTTGTCTTTCACTGTGATTGGCCAATCACCGCTAAGTGAGATGCATACTGCGCCTATATATATATATATATGGGTTAGAAATTCAGTGTGTTGGTTATGTTAAGAAAATTGTGTAAATTGTTTCTATGTGTAAATGTTGATTATTAAATTTTAATTAAACGTCATCCGCTTGAGTTATAAATACGTGAGTCGGCGAATTCTATACGTAAAAACATCCTGCCCGGTATCATTTTCTACCGGGATTCTTATGTCTTGTACCATACATTCACTAGGTGTACTATTTTTCTCCTGTTCCCTAGAACACCCTAGAACAAAGGTTATATTCTGATTTCAACTGTCGTCCATAAATACAAGTCCATTTTCTGGGTCAACATTCAATTGATTAATCTTAATGAGCCTATCATCTTTCATTTCTCGGAAGACCCTGGGGTGTATTGCTCTCCTTATATTTGTAACTCCGGGTGAGAAACACTGGTGAGAAGGAGTGTCAACTGTCAATAGCTTAACTACTGAATATTAATGTATATTAATAAATTTTGAATACTAGTGTATATACTAGCTGTTAAATATTAGGATGTATACTATCGGTTAAATGCTGTGCTGTATACTATACGTTACATTTTATTGCATATATTAAGTATTGTAACGACAGCGGAAGTCACGCGACGTTGGGAGCATGCGCGCTGGAGTTTCTCGAAGGATCATGAAGGCCCGAGTGCATTCAAAAGGCCCTCTTTTTAGTAAGCCTGGCGAGAAAAACCAGAGCGATTGAAGAGAGAGATAATATTGCGTCAAGCGAACAATAGGCACCGTAAGTAAAGTGTGTGAATCACTGTGATTTATAGCGTGTGTTATAAAGGT